ACCATTATTTTCCATATAGACAATTAAACCTTCTAACGGTGCCAATTCTTTCTTATCTTGCAATAAATTAAATTCTTTGGCGAAAGACGTGAAATGTGCAAATAATGAATTGAAATGTTTTTCTTCCCGGAGATGTAAGATTTGTTCATAATGATTATAATATATATGCGCGAATACTCTAAAACATTGTTTAAATATTGTTCTAGCTATTTGATGAAAATCTCTTGGGAATTCTCGACCTTTTTTAAAAATTATTGTCATTGTCATTAGTGTGAAGAATTATATGTTAGAATGATGTTATATTATATGTATGAAGAAATCTTTATTAAAAGTAATATTTGTGTATTGACTTACCAACTTTTGTAGGAAAAATATTTTCATCATTGATAAGATTTTCAATCCAAGTCATAACGTAATCAATGTAAGTTGGAGCAGATAACTTTGTACTCTTTTTTTGATTTTGATCTGTCCAAGTATAAGGTTCAAATCTAATAATGAATAACATTGATGATATGCATTTCAATAAGTTTAATTTTCTTATTACGAATCCTTTCATTCGTTTCAATATTAACAGAAAAATTATAAAACATTCACCCTGGACCAGCGCTCATAGTTGGACAACGGACTGCTGTACAAAAATCAGTAACGGTTCCATAAAACATATTAAGATATGTAAAGAATTCAACCACTATGATTTTTGGAGTATTTAAAATAACATGAGAATATTTCTTAAAATAATAATAATACAAATCAAGCTTTTATATGCAAACCATTTACAGCAAACCATTCATCTTCGTTTACATGTTTTGGTAAAACAACGATTTTTTTAAAACTTCCTTCTACTAATGTTGCATCGATAAAAGGTTGTGAAAGAAATAAAGGACGTGAGACCGGGGTTGTTCTAGAACGAATAGTATTCTTTTTACTTTTGCTAGTATATATAATGTTTGATTAGATTGGTTATTGGTTAAAACTATCAAAAACTGACATTTTTGAAATGTTGATTGACATTTTAATCGTTTAATAAATAATGTAATAACTTACCCTGACCAAAAATTCATATTATCAATATAAAAGATTAATGTAAAGTTTTTTAGTTGTGTGTGTATTTGAAAAAATTAAAGAAAAAGAATTTTAATTTTATGTACTAATGAACATGCGGAAATTAAATAGACATCTGTTGTTACACCACGATCTAATTTATAGACGTTACACTCACTATAATGCCACGTTTTAAATTATTATTACAAGTGGTGGTGCGACGCTTTTTTGCCTTTTTTTGTCTCATTTGAATAATTTCCCGTTTTATAAATTTATATTTCATAGGTTTACCGATTGTAATGCCGAAATTATATCCGATTTCTTTAATCTAATTATTTTGTGTTCATTCATAAAAAGAATATTGAAACTGCCACAATTTTCCAAAAAGAATAACCATACATCTCTAGTTTGTAATAATTTTGAGCAAGAGATTGGATATTTTACTTTATCAGCACCACCAAAAAATTATATAATGAAGTTTGTTGAAAAACACATAAAAATAACAGCTGTACACTTCACTTGGGAATATTGAAATCAACAGCTAGACATTAAATCATTTGTTAAAGGATTTGGATAGAGGGGGATCAGATTAATTTTTTATTTGCTAGAAATTTGTAGTGATATAAATATTGATTTTAATAAAGATTGATTGTTGGGAGTAGACCCCCGGCATTAATGAATGATAATAACGTAGCATATGAAACCAGGAGAATTCCAACAAAAGAACTTTACCGCTTGGCAGACAGAATATAATCAAGCAGCAACAACACAAAGATTAAATTGGAAGAAAGAAGAAGGCCAGGCGTTAATTATTGAAAATAATGCACCATCACCAAAGACCTCCGTATTGCTTGACAATTATGTCCCTCACATTCTCTCAAAACCATATTACTCTGACCAATTTTTATGATGAAGTTACGATTTAAAATTTATCATAGAAGGCAAAGAGCGATTGCAAAATGGGTTGGACAGTTCATCAAAAGTGAAAATATACTACATCGCCACCACCAAATCACTATCACAACCAATAATGCAGTTCTTATCTCCAATGCAATTCCTGCAGCCAATACAATCACCATCATTGTCATTATCTCCAATACAATCATTACAATTACTGCAATTGCCGCCAGCCAAAAAATCGTTGCATTTGGTAATGTAATGTTTAATGTTTGCATGAAGGGGAAACGAGCAGGCGTGTGTAGAATTTTTTTTAAGGAACTTTGCCGCTTGGAACATCTTGGTCGTCATGTAGCTTTGAAGATATCCACCCGAATTTAGAACTCCAAAATTTGTTCAAAGTGTAACATGTTAACATTAGAACATATGAAAGATTGATTGTAGGAAGGCTTAGCAGTCCTCTGCATCCTCTGCATCCTGCAAAAAATTGTGACACAGTATAAATTCTTCTCTAGAAATATTCATTTCATTGTGACTTTAACAAGTAGAATGAATCAATATTCATTCATTCCATTTAAAAATGATAACGTTTTACAAAATTCCTTTTAAACCCATTCATTTCATTATTAAGCAATGATTTTCCTTGATGTTGATTGGTCAGATGCATTAAATGGGAAATATAATTGTGCAAGTTTTTTTTACTCTTTATTCTTGCAACTTTTTGCTTTCCAAGTTTCTTTTATAATAATTATTATTGTTGTTGTACTAAATATTGAATGATTTAATTATATTTGTATATTTCTTAAAATATTATTTTTCCTTTCAATGTAAAAAATATACATGATATAAAACAAATACACTATTTTTAATAATTGTAATAATTATAATTATATAATATATTGTTTTTTATAATAAATAATAATAAAGATGACTTATTACAATAGAGGTACTTTAAACCCGAGGAGTATCATTAAAAGTTTAGACGAATCTGGAATACCAAAAGTTTCTGAAAATCCGCCTGTTTATCAATTGGGAGAAATGAGGCATGGTAAATATATTTATCTTTATGTTTATGTTTTAGCAAAAGATGGCAATAATTATTATAATAAATGCGCACAATTTCCATCAGTTATACCTATTTAATTCATCCATTTATTCATCAATCATTAACTAATTAATTTATTTACTTTAGCTGAAAAATGTTTTTACATATTAAAAAGATATCGTTATTGGAATCCTGGTTATGTAGGTTTTGACACAGAGACAACAGTGTTCAGACAAAAAGATCGTCGGCTAGTTTCAATGATACAATTGGCAACGCGCGATTTCTGTTTTCTATTTCAAGTATATAGAATCACAGGAGGTCATTCCGACTACTTTCCAAGACAATTAAAGAATTTTCTTTGTGATGGGAGAATATTAAAGGTCGGTGTTAATGCTACAGGCGATAGTAATTGGTTGAGAGATTCGTATGATTTCGAGTGCAACGGTTTGGTAGATTTGGAGAAAATGGCTCACAGGAAAGGATATTCAGCGAATTCGTTGTCAGAATTGACAAGGATGTTTGCTGATCCTGGCCTTGTGCTAGAAAAATCAAAAAAAAAACTTTTTAATTATAATTTTGATCATCAGTATTTGACTTCAGAGTTGATCATATACGCTTCGGCGGATGCCTTTGCTGGATTTCAGATTTATGAGAATTTGTTAAAAGATAATTTGAACGAGGAATATTTAAATTACGAAAAGTTCAATCCTAAATCAACGGAAGAAGAGGATGTTGAATGTTATGAACTTTTGAACAAGGAATTGATTAGAGGCGATGTAATGAATATTTTTATTTATTTGCATTGCTATTATGCTAAGTTGTTTATAACGTGAAAAATAAAATTTGTTTAAATGGATTTACGATAATTTTTATTTATAGGAATATAGAAAACATGTTATAATACAAATACTCGAAAAGAGATATGACAGGTGGGCCAAAACCAAACCAAAAACAGATGATCGATATCTTGCAGCCCTTGATGCATTTGACAGATTTATTGAAAATAAGTTGATTATCAAAGTAGATGAAAATGGCGATGAAGACGATAGGGATAGCGAAACTGATGATTCTGAAGAATCAAATTTCTATGACGAAGATTATTCAAATAATAACAATAATAGTGGTAACAAAAAGAGGAACGAAAAAAAAACCAAGAAAAATAAAGTAACTGTGAATCGAAATATAAAATATAAACTCCCAGGAACTTCCATTTCAGATTTGTTTTCAAGTAGTTATTTTTTCGAATATTGTAATGGAAAAGGATTAACACAAGAAGAATCTGATTTGTTAAAGAAAGTATGGAAATTCGTTTTATTAAAAGACATACATAAAGATTCACTAGCTCGTGTATATATGAACAATAGTAAAAAACAATTAGCAGCGGCTGCTGCTGCTGCCGCTGCCGCTGCTTCTTCTTCCTCCTCTCCCTCTACCTCTACCGATTATCGTTATCATCCAACAATAAACATGAAATCTATCAAAGGGACGATCGATTCAATGACACGCAAAGGTGTATTTGTTTATGGAGAAAAATACGGTTTTGTCATAATAAATCAGATTTGGTTAAAAGATTTTGAAAAAAGTTATGAGAATTTTATTGAAAGTGAGAAAGCACTATCGGAAAGTTGTATTATTGTTGATGAGAATAATCAGCAGGAGAAAGATTCAGCCTAAATTAATTGAAGCAAATAAACTGGTAAATTTTAATTAAAAATAAAATATGTGTATGTAGTGATATATATATATATATATATATATATATATATTAAAAAAATAATAATAATATAATAACTATTAATAAATCTATGATTTGTGTGATTAATTAATTAATGAATTTTTAAAAAAAAAAAAAAAAAAAAACAGGGGAAAGGAAGGATTTGAAGAAAAAAATTTGATTGCAAAAATATATACAATGATTTAAAAAAAAATTTGAAAATAAAAAAAAAATAATTTATAATAATATTAACTAAATAAGTATAAACAATAATAGCTAAATAATAATATTTATCTATTTTTTTTAATATCTATTACGTAATCTATCTGATGGACGTGGGATTGTTGATCTTCCGGATTGTAAAGGTGGTGGTGCATTAGAAGATCGCTTTAAGTTTACCGAATTGAAAAAATAAAAGTTAATATCAATCAATCAACGAATAAATAATAATTAATCATAATATTTTTCTGGATAAAATACCCTCGACATATTATTATTATTATTTAATAATCCTCTTCCATATGGAATATGATGATCTATATAAGGGGGAGGAACAGGATGGTAGTCATTTCTATGATAATAAGAATATTGATCATCTCTTGTTCTTCCCTAAAAAATCAAATCAAATAAGACTTATATTTCAATAATTATATTATACATATTTTAATATATATATATTTACTATCATCATATTTCCAGAATTTGAATTTGAGTTTGAACTTGTTGAAGATGAGGAAGAAGAAATATGTGGTGATGATTGTAAAGATTGACCATAATAATAATTATTATTGCTACTATTATTAAAGCTATTATTATTGTTATTATTACTAAAGTAATTATTATTGTTATTACTGTTATTATTATTATTGTTATGATATACTGAATCATAATACATTCCATTCGATGTGGATAAACCACGAACTCTTTTATTAAAAGGCGGTGAAGATTGTTCTTTATAACGTCTATTACCAATATATATTTGACTTTGAAAAGGTATTATTTCCCCATCTGAATTTGAAATTTTGAAAAAAAGATTTAATATTTTTGAGATTAATTGTTTTTTATTCTTGAATAATTAAACATTTACCTTTTTTTAATTCATCATTATTATTGTAGATATTGTTGTTTTTTAATGTAGACATTTTCCTATATTATTAAATCAAAAAAAAGTTATGCGATTTTTTCGGAAATTGTTTCAAAAATCCATAAAAAATAAATCCTTACATTATATTATTATTATTGTTATTACTATTATTATTATTATTATTATTATTATTATTATTATTATTGGTGGTAGTAGTAGCAATAGTTTCTTGTGTAGATTCTTCAGAAACTGTCTCACGTAATTTTTGAAACAAACTTTTCTTTAAAGTTGTCAATTCTTTAATCTTTGCAATAATAAACCCTTCATCATCATCATCATTATTATTGTTTTCTTCGTTCAGTATTATTATTGAATCTTTTCCATTGTGATCTTTAATTGTTGTAGTAACTGGTTTATTAAACTTGTCAACATTTTCATCTGATTTTTTATTTTCTTGATTTCTAGGGTCTTCCATCTCATTATCAATATCCTTGCTACTATCAGTCATACTATTACTAAAATTATTATTACTATTAGCATTATTAACACTACTACTATTATTGTTATTATTATTACTCATATTTTTATTATTTTTATTAAAAGATGATGATAATACTTCAATTAAATCTTCTTCTTCATTAGAAATATTATCATTATTAGAAGTCGATAAAGAACCATCTTCATCATCCATTATAACTTCATTTAAAATATCATTATCCCCACTGTTATCATCATTCAACAAAGATCCTTTATCATCATCATGTTCATTATTATTACTACTAACATATTCACCTTCTTCTTCTTCTGATGATAAATGTCCTCTTTTATTTTTATTATCATTATTGTCATTAACATTATTATTATTTGAATGCCCATTTATTAATCTATGATGATGATTATGATCATGACCTCCAGCATTATTATTATTATTAATGTTGTTATTATTATGATTGTTATGATTATTGTTACTTGTTCGCCTTTTTGATAATACTTTATGAGCTATGGCTTTTATTATATGTTCAGGAGCTGGATCTCTAACTGAGAAAACAACATTTTTCAATATTCGATTGTCGTCCATTACCTTTATTATTGTTGTTGTTATATATTATTATTAATAATAACTTTTATATTTAAAAATGATTTCTAATAATTTTATTTTCGAAAGTAAAAAAAAAATACCTTGCTTTAATATCCTGTTTATAAGTGTCGTTGCAACGACAATAGACATTGTCAAAAAAGTTTGGAGAAAAAATATATATATATGGTATTTTGGGTAATGATAGGACGTTATTATTAATAATTTTTGTGCACTCTTTGATTGACACACATTAATATTAATAATCACACTAAATATTCTAAAAAGAATTTAATATATTTATATATATTTATTATTATTTTTTCTCTCTTTCTCCACACGAATTTCACATACTCTCTAATCTCTCAACCTTGTTTTTCTACTATTGACCTACCTTAGATCTATTATTTTCATAATATCATCCGTTTTCCTTTTAGCAACAGAAGATGACATTTCTTGATCTATTTCAATTTTATTATCAGCCAATAGGTACAAATGATCAAAAAAGTTGATTACCAGACAGACACTTGATGTGGCTGCCATCATCATTAATATCTTTTTGTACCGCGCAACTCATCTACAGAGCCATATTCATTTCATCAATCCTTTTATGGTTTTATTATCGAAGGCTTTTGTCGTTGGTGCCACACAAACGTTTAGGAGTCTATCCACGAGTCCAGTTGTCGTGCCCAACGACATCCAAACCAACTCGTCAGATTGTGGTTATCATGAATTTTAAGATTCATCTACAATTTCCATACGAATAAATTTTGGTTTATTAATTTTGGTTTTTTTCAATTTGACGTTAACTAAATATACGAGTCTGTTAATAAATATACATGACTTAAAATTAGTCAATGGATTAAAATTTTATTTGAAATAAAACAAAATGATATATATATATATATATATATATATATATTAACAATAACATGCCCCCACTCATAAAACTCATTCGTTATATCCTCGGCAGTTTCGTATTTAGCCGATTCTTATCAGTCAATGTATATAAATCGATAACCAGGCCCTTGATAGATACAAGTTTAGATTTGTTGAGCGCAAGAAAATATTGTGGTTTTACAAGTCAAAAAATTCTTAATTATATATACGTGACAATGTTAAATTCTCAACGTTTTATCAATAATAATTTTAATAATAACAATAAGAAGTCGATTCTATTATGTTTTGTTCAATTTTTATTTAAATGGTCAGATGAAAAGATTGTTTTCGCTCCAAAAAATCCAAGACAATTTTTATAAAAATATGATGAATCAAGAAAGACCAATCAAAAATATGTAAATATATTAATATATATATTTCTCACCTGATTACATCATTTTAAATTAATAATCATAAAAGTACGTGTAATAATCAATTTTGTGATTTTTTATATTAAATTTATCCAAGGGTTTCTTTACCCTGTGCGAAACAATGAATTACTATTTTCATTATTATTAAAAAAAATGGTACTTTGTACAATCGCTAGTAAATAATATATTTCCATAAACATGAACAAACAAACAAAAACACATCAAATTATCCTCATTTCTATACAGTGAACCCTCCCTAAGTGCACCCTCCCTAAATGCACGCACTATGTATACCCTCCATAAATGCACGGCCCATCTCATCCCCAAGCTTATAGAGAGCTTATAAAATCACCCTCCATAAATGCACACTCACAAGAAATAGCACTATGTTCCCGAGGGGGGTGCACTTATAGAGGGTTCACTGTATAAAAATGCAGATCTTTCACTGAAGCCATTATGATCACGTTATTTATGAGATTATGTGTGACCTAAAATTTTCTGTTATCCCCCACCCCCAAAATATTAGCTAATATATGTCGGTGCCCTTAGGATTGAAGTAATTATATTACATTAACATTTTTCAAAATGACTTTGCGAACTTTATTTTGACATACATTAGGATGAATCACAGCAGAGTAGTAATGAAGAATCACAAGAGTACCAGTATTTGGATGATGATCCTACATCAGATTGTGAATTACCTAATGAATTGTCTGAGGTAATTAACTTTTGCTTCATTCTGTGTAATAATTGTATTTACTCTATCCAATTTTCTAGGAAATTAATGGTTTGAATGCCAATGAATTGTCAATTCGAAATACTTTGCTTGAAATTCTCCATCAATATCAATCCAAGGATGTTGAATCAGACAAAATACTAATTAGTTTGAACTTCATAAATGGGATAATAGATATAACAAATGTTAATGTGAAGAAAATAGTACAATCAAAATTGAGTGAATTGAATGAAGGACAACAATGGTTTGATCAAGTTCTCAATAAAAAAACTTGGACTCCAACTTCTGAGTTTATCAATTATTGTAATCAGTTCACAGATGATATGTGTAATCATATAGAATTCACCACTTTGGTGCGTAAGTCTTTTGTCATAGGGCGTTTCGATCCCTTTGTTCACAAAGGACATTGTACATACTTAATAATGAAAACCTAAACAAAAAACCTATAAAAAAATTTTTTTATTATTATGTGGAATTTTAAACAATCAAGAAAACAAAAAATAATATTGCAATTTTTAATCAAACTTATTTTTTTTATTAAAATATCATTTTATATGATATTATTATGAAATTTTGCATAAATATTCATTAAAACCTGAGCTACATATTGATATAAATTTTGTGTTTATTTATTATGTGGATTTTTGTGTATAACTTATCTTTATTAATCAAATTATTTTTATTGCTCAGTTGACCCAAATATTTAGCAACATTAGTAAATTAGCAATTAGTAAGCTAGTAATACAGAAAATAGGATTAATAAGCATATTTTATTAGACAAAATATTGTAAAAGTCATGTTATTTGTAATACCTCAAGAGGTATAAAAAGGCTTGGTTTTAGACCAAGTGAAAATAATGTGGATTGTGTTAATAACATTCATAATAATCTATAACAATTAAATAATTATATATATATATATATATCCCCCCCTCCTGTTGTTAATAATTAAATAAACACATTTTACCTTATTACGAATTTTTACATAGTTAACAGGAAAAGCCATTGTGAATTGTTCCATGGCCCTCTCTGATGATTAGTGGTCTGGCCACTAATCATTAGTTAGGAACCCCCTAGTTTGATTGTTCTATGCTGCCTGTAGGGACGCCTCAAGTGGTATATTTGTAAATATTTCTTGTATGTATTCTTTTATTTTATTATCTTAGGCTAATGCCAACATTACTTACCATTAGTACTGTAGAGTAGGAACTGCGCAGTATAGAGTATTTTGGGAAGGCTTCTAGCTGTGTGCAAAGATGGAGGAGGCCTTGGGAATCGGGAACCCTTAGTTATGTGCAAAGGTGGGGAGATTTATATATTGGACTTTTATATGTATTTTATCTTATTTTTATTGGACACATCATGAGCTGTATTTTACATGCTCACAACATGATATTGTTCAAGAAATAATGAAATTTTTGTAAGTATTTTTGCTTATGAAATTACAGTCTCATTCTTCAAATGGTTGCTAATACCAATAATCAATAATAGTTCAGTGCATTTGGAAGCACCAAGTAACATAAATTCAAATGCATGGAAACTGGAAAGAACTTATGCAGTTGATACAATTATATATGTCATAAATAGACTTTTCAGGATGCATCAAGACGTTCTGGATGGAAATTGGTAAATGCCAATTGTAAGTTTCTAATAGTTTGAGTTATATTTGTTGGTTAATTCTCTTTTTTTATTAATTCAAAATAGAAATATCGACTGCTGATACAAAATCCCATAAATTTGATGGTGTTTGGAAAGCTTTCCAAATAAAAAAGAATAGTCAGTCAATAATAATAATCGAGTTTTCATTTGGCCAATATGCCCCAATGGACAAAGATGCTGAAGATAAAGTGAAGTTGTGTCACAACACTAAATGAATTTTAAATAAGTTGTTTGATAAAGTCCCATGCAAGGATGCACAAGTTTACACCATTCAAAGCATTAGTGAGTATCACCATAAAATATTAGTTAATAAAAAGATTCATGATTATTTAACATTTTTTTTTTTCATATAAGATGGAATGATTAATATAAAATATATTGTACAGCTATACATGAAGTCAAAATGTTTCGACTTGAGGCAACTACATAGTAAAAATCAGTTTTGACCTTATTTCGACCCTATTTCGACCAGGTCTGCAACTGGTTGAAATAGTTTTGACTTCATGTATAGGTATGTCCTCCCATTCAACATACTTGTATGACGAGTTTGTAAGCTTTAAAACACCTACTACTTTCAATGATATGGGGCAATTACTAAGGATGTGGCAACTCTTATGGATTTTCAGGTAATGAAGTGATGATAAATATTTATTGATGCTCTTTGGATGAAATTGATGGTAATTTGTTTTCATATCATAGATGGATGTCTTGTAGACTGTCAAGTTGATGAATAAGAAAATAAAATTGCCAAAGACAATAAGGTATACAAATCTAAAGTGATAATTACACCAGAGAAAAAGAAAGTCATAAAGGAAATCACACATTCATATCCTGAATCACCTTCTCTTGGAACACCAAGTTCATCATTGATTTAGATAGATTTAATTCAACTTATTTAGATGTATAGTGAACCCTCTATAAGTGCACCCCCCTCAGGAACATAGTGCTATTTCTTGTGAGCGTGCATTTATGGAGGGTGTGCATTTATGGAGGGTGATTTTATAAGCTCTCTATAAGCTTGGGGATGAGATGGGCCATGCATTTATGGAGGGTATACATAGTGCATGCATTTATGGAGGGTGCACTTAGGGAGGGTTCACTGTATCATGTAGTTCAGTCAGGGATATTTCCATATCTGGATTCAACTCTAGAATAGTCTGCTGATTAATTCATTATATGTTACAAACGAATTCACAGGATACTTCTTGTTATATCTATGTTACACTTTCTAAAAATAAATCGGTTTATTAATAATTGAAAGAAATACTATTAAACTTGCTCTTTCATAATCTGTAATAATCTGTAATAATCTGTTGATTTGTTCAAAGTACGTTTTATACTAAAATTAGAAATTTATGACTAGAATTTAATTTTTATTGGTTTTTAGATCATTATGTTTGTATTGTTTGCATCTTCATGCAAACAAATATCCTGACTCCATGTTGGTGCAAATCTTATTATTAAGTATATTCAGAATCACCATTACTATATTTATTCATGTAAATTAATTTGTTAATAACAATATACTTTTATTTAGGCTTTATTATTTATTTATTTTAAGGATACCGACTGCAACTTTGATGGTTGTAACCACCTTTACATCATATACAAATGATTGTAACACCTAGTCGTAACTGCCTTTGCAACAACTTTGTTGGATTGCAGCATGGAGCTAAAGTAGTTCGGTATGGAAATGTAAGCATAAAACTCCAAATAAATTATTTTGTATTATTTACAATGGTGGCTATTGATTTCAATATAATTAATCGTTATTTATTTTTACTATATGGATTTTGTATGTATCCTTTATTTATTATTTAATAGAATTGGCAAGGAAATTCATATGGTATTATTTAAATTTTAAAATGAAGTATTTTGTGGAAACTTAGTAAATTATTTAATAATGGAATAAAAATTATTATTAATATAATAATATGCTATATATTAGTTAAATAGCATCTCTGACATTGCTTGATCTTGGGTAAACTTCTAAAAAAGTTAAAAATGAACATATTATATAATCTTGTAAATTATATGATCAATTAATAAAGCTCCCGCCATGTTTTTCTTGTTTTTCTTTTCCTTTAACATTAAAGATTATTTTTTTTTTTATTCAACGAAAAGATCTGCACAGAATTTAGCCAATTAGAATTTCTTTTCATAACGTCGATCATTATAGGGTATTATCCCTGGTTGAATTTAGCCAATCAGAATTTCTTCTAGAATTTTTCAACTATCGATCATTATGGTATTTAGTATTTCCATCTATGGAAATATCCCTGACTGTAGTTATCCACAAAAAATATCTGCAATCGCCAAATCGATTTCTAAATTCATCTGCACAGAATTTAGCCAATTAGAATTTCTTTTCATAACGTCGATCATTATAGGGTATTATCCCTGGTTGAATTTAGCCAATCAGAATTTCTTCTAGAATTTTTCAACTATCGATCATTATGGTATTTAGTATTTCCATCTATGGAAATATCCCTGACTGTAGTTATCCACAAAAAATATCTGCAATCGCCAAATCGATTTCTAAATTCATGCCAGCACTGTTTAAGTTAATTAAGGAGGAGTGTCTAGCTGAGCATTGAACTCTGCCATGCCAGGGTTGTTTATATTCAGTTAAGGATAAGGATAACACGCACCCAACCCACCAATAAAATTGGATATTCTGAGGTTTCACGAAATTTGCGGATATTTTTTGTGGATAACTACAAATTGTTATCTGACCACAAAAACTACAAACTTGAATATCCAATTCTTTAAGTTGAGAAAGTTTTCGGTTCTCTAACTGACTAATTTTTACTACCATTTTTTACTAAAATCTATTAAGTGCAAGCACTTATCACCTAAACCCAACTTTAAGGAAGTGAAATCCCACTTTTTACTCTCCTCTTTTTATCCCTTTTTACGGGAGAGGTGAAGGGAAAAAGTATGAGCTTAATTGTTGTTTACCTATAATATTATGTTTTACTTATTTTTGTTTGTGTTTTGATTGATTTTCCGCCTATTGTCTCCACCTTATAAAAAGCCCCCGTTGGGGTCTAAAAGATAAAAGGTGAATAAGAGAAAAGCAAAATCAAAAGAGAACTACCAAAAGGAGTAGACATCCTGCCTATTCACTATTAAGGGAACATATATCTCAATGAACCCTTAACAGTTAACTATTTAACAGTGAATAGTGTAGGAGTGTCTAGCTGAGCATTGAACTCTGCCATGCCAGGGTTGTTTATATTCAGTTAAGGATAAGGATAACACGCACCCAACCCACCAATAAAATTGGATATTCTGAGGTTTCACGAAATTTGCGGATATTTTTTGTGGATAACTACATGATCATCATACTTCTGGTCTAAAATAATTTAAAATATTAATTAATATGTTGCAGACACAAACTGACAATAACAACCATAACTTACCTCATCAAATACCAGCTGCGATTTTTAAAAGATCAATTACTGCTAGGCCAGATTTTAGAATCCATTCATCATGATTAAAAGGATGTTTGCTATTATCAACATCATATTCCACCTCAGTCTCTACAAGAAACAATACTGGATCTAATTCTTGCCCATCATATTCTCCAGAAAAATACCCTGCCTGACAAGTATCAAGACAAGGAAAATTCAATTTAATAATACAATCATATTGTATGTAATGAATTATAATGAATCCTGTTTATGCAGTCTCTTTTTTGAGGCATCCTCAGAAATTAAAATCTGATTAGATTAAGATTGATTTGATTTGATTTGGTTTGATTTGATTAAGATTAATAAATAAATTTATCAAAAATTAAATATTTAACTAGAGTGACAACAAGTGGTGATAACCACCACCACCATTCTTATGATAAACACTTACCCAACAACTGCTTCTCCCTTGTTATTTCCTCTTTTTCTTTTTTGATTGATCCTTTTAGGAGGCATTTTATTTAATTTGAAAATAAAACAAACAATAGGAGAACTTGACATGTCACTCTTGACCTCCACAACCTGTATGCCTTTCTTGTGTTGTTTTTTGTCAGGCCTACCTGGATGTGGAGGAAGTCTTCCTGATAATTTAGATACACCATCATTGTCTTCATCCTGTAAATTGTTCAATCATCTTTGCTGTATTAATCAAACCTTCCTGAATTAACATGGAGAGAAGTCAATAAATAAATTAAAGCATGGCAGGAAAGAAATAACATCTATGAAAACAGTTAAAATATACTTTTAGATCCCAAAGCAAGACCACAAAATCAAAAAGGTATTTTTTCTGCTCTTCATAACAGATCAGAACAATTGCTTTATGTGTAGGGTTTGTATACATGGATACCATAAGGAGGTCACACAGAGTCACACCATTAAAATCAAGTGTTTTTAAGAAATTATTTGCTGTTTTAATAACGTGTAACCCAGTGTCTGAAATTGAGTGCGGGGGTTTGTGTTACATATTGAATTTAGCCAATCAAATTTGTCCTTCTGGTAGAAAATTTAACGTTGATTGGCTAAATTCAATATGTAACACACCCCCCCCCCCCCGCACTCAATTTCAGACACTGCTTGAAACCATACTTATCACGAGTTAACCCCTACATGATTTTCAAAGATCTTATCTAGCATGGATAACATTTTATCAGAAAAATTAAAAACATTAAGTTATTATTCAAGTTGCGATGTCAGTTCAAAACATTCATTTATTGACTTTTTTAAATCAATTGACTCTCTTTTTGTTTTACTTTAGATTTCAGATGCATTATTAAGATTAAAACATTCAAATGGAGGATATTTACCTGATATAACAATGTTTTCACCTGAAAGACAATCAGGAGCTCATAAAATAATTGGTCCAGTTTTTACTGTAAAGGTTAATAATCTATCTATCAATTTATCTATTTATGAATGAACCTTTATTTAATTTTTAAAAATTATTATTATTTTATAGTTTGTGCCTATATCTGATGTCACCTCACCAAAACCCGATAATCACTTTGTAATTTTGAATTAAAAAAATCTTTGTAAAAAAAAATGATGACTATTATAATAATTTATGTTTTTAATTTTAAAAGGCTGATTCTGCTCCAGAGAATAGTGTAGTGTTTGTATCTGCACCACCAAGTATGTAGAGATCCTTATAATATCATTCATCTTTACATTTAATAATTTTTTTTATCTATTAATAGATGCTATAAATGCTGTTTGGGGAGGATTGATGAATACTAGAGCTAAAATGAGAGGTGTAAATGGTGTGGTTGTTGATGGTCGTATTCGTGATCTTTCAGAAATACGTTCAGATGTGTTACCTGTACTTATATATATATATATCTAGTTATTATTTTATATACATGTTTATATATCATATTTACTCAATTATTTATAATTTTATCTGCTTGCAATCAAGGTTTTTGCAAGGTCTACATCAGTATTGTCGGCAAAAGCTTATACCAGACCCACTACATTAAATCAACCAGTCATTCTAAATGGTGATCATAATCCCACAATTGTGATTAATCCAAATGATATTATAGTTGGTGATTTGGATGGTGTTGTTTGTATACCATCAGGATTGTTGGATGAGGTTATAAAATTGTGTAAGAAATATGTAGTTATGGATGAAAATGTTAGACAAGAATTATTAAAGGGGTCCTCAATTGTTGAAGCATTTTCATTACATCGTGCTGTTTAATGGTAAATGACCAGAATATATTTTATAATGAAATTTTAATGAATAAATTCATAAAATGTATATATTTTTTACAGTAAAAAATCAACAATTTAATTTAATTAAATAAAATGTTAGTATTGAAAATTAATATAATAGTTTTTTAAAAAAAAATTCATTAAAAAATAAATATAATAAAAAATATATTTTCTTTAAAATATACAATAGAAGATAATATCATACAATCATGTCACTTATGATAATGACATGAATTTTATAGCAGATAATAGAATTTATTATTAATATTTAATAAACTATAAAGTTTTCTATATTTAGTTTGAAGGTGGTATTTGATTCATAACATCTACATATCTAACTCGAACAGGGTGGCAATTACTTGCACTAGATGCACTCCTACTACTTCCTACACTTAATGGTGGTGGTGGCATTGTTGTTGTTGATATATTTTTAGAATTAACATCTGGTGGTCCTATTGAATTATCAGACAGTGTAGAATTTTTTATTGTTATTTTTGTTATTATTAGAAATAGTCATTGATGCTGAGGGGGTTGGTGATGTTGTTTTTGCTCATATAATGGCAGTTGAGATCTTTTTACCTTTTATTAACCCATCTTTTTTGAACAGGATCATAATAAAATGAAATTTCTTCTAAATTTGCAACTTTACCATTTTCTTTTTTTGTGAAAAATTTTCCAACCACTAAGTTTACCTTCCTCTATTTTTAAATCAGAACAAAAATCTTTTAGTTACTGTAAAAATATATTTGCTTATTTATTTATTTTCTAAATACCTTTTTTGTTGTCCTGATTTTCATTTTATCTTTCATCAGTTTTAGCATTTTTTATGACATTTTCATCCTTGTTTATCTTCTGTTGAAGTTTCTTTTTGTTTCTTTCTGTTTCTTTTTTGAACCAAATGCATTATTACTTAAGCCCAAATCACCAACATCATTTTCAAATTCATTATTACTATAGTCATTATTAGCAGTATTGTAGCTATAGTTGGTGTTGCTGGTTATTGCTGTTAGTGGTGATGTATGTGGTGATGGTGATATTAGTGTATTGTTTGTGTTATTACTACTATCAATATTATAATAACTACTACTGCTATTATTGTTGTTAAATTGCTGATCTTGTGTATTGAAGTTGTTTTCATTACCATAATAACTACCATATGAATCAGCTGAAACACTATAAGACGGGATTGGTTGGATGATTGCACTGTAATAAGAAAATGGACCAACTGGTTCAGAATTCATGGAAGGTGATTTTTGTCACTTTTGTCAACAGAGTCACCTGCGACAAATTTGTTAAACTTTCCTTCCAATGATTCCCACAAAGAATCAAAAGTAGCTTTAGGCATTTTTTTGGCAAAAATCCATGAGGATTCATTGGTACTATATGATAAATGATATAACCCAAGAATTCAATTAAATATTTAAAATATATTTACAAATGACAATGATGATGATGACACACATACTCTGAATTGCTTCCACCATGTTCTAATAAACATTGAATCAAATCTTTTAATTTTTGTAAGAAGCAACCATGAAAATATGGTGATCCTTTAGTATAAACTTTTGCTATATTTGCAATTGATTCACAATATCTAAACATTAAAATAAGCATTATTCAAATAGTTATATTTATATTTATAATTGTTTGAAAAATTAAGTATAAACAATACCTTCTTGCTTCATTCAAATAGCCACAATCAACTAACCACATAAGTTTATAGACCTGTAAGTATGGTAAACCACTTTCATTGCTAGTTAATGAAATTCCAAATTCATAAATTTCAGTAAGTTGTAAAGCTTCCCAACATGAAAATAATCAATTGAGTGGTTGCACAAATAATCTTTTCCAATCAGAGTAAAACAAGTGTTAGGTGTATCAATACCAGAATTAATTGATGATTTTGGTGATAAAATATAACTATAAGCACATATATAAACATATAAAATTATTAATATTTAATTAAAGAGAGATAGAAGGAGAAATGGAAAAATATAATAATATATGATATAGATAGATAGATATGTAAATATAATAATAATTTACCAAATATGAGACGCATGAATCTTTTAATAATATCACCTAAAGCAGAAATGGCTTGACTATCACCAGATGAACGATTTGCTATTATCATAGCTAAGGCCCCTTGCCATTTTATCAAACATTCTAATTGCATCTCATTTATAGGTGTAGGTGAGAAAGCTGATGTCACAGGGATAGCAACATAAGAAGCATTAAGTGAATATATTGGATCAACTGGTGAATGGCAAGCTTGACCAAGAAGAATTCTTTGTGGGAAAAATTCCTTAATTGTATGAGATTATATAATAAAAAACAGGATAGCATTAATTTAATTAATAGCAAATTTGATAATTATGATGATATTATTAGATTTGTACCTGCATTAGGGCCATTTCCAGCAAATAATGAATATAATACTTTTAAACTTTCTCTTCCATTTGATTGAAACAGATCTCACATTTGATCGCCCATTTCATGCCTAATAAAGCCACTTACAACATCTTTCCACATATCTTTATTAACACAACTTGCAATTATTAGAGCATGCAACCATAAATTTTCATCCTTATTGCAGCAATACAATCACCTTTAAGTAGAAGATTTTGTAATTTATCAATGGATTTAAAAGATATTGTATATAATAATAAAGAGGTAGATGGTGATAAACCTTGAGATGAATCAAGACTTGCACTAACAGGAACAGTAAAATGTGATTCATCATTTTCACTTACAAATGTATTTGGGACCAATATTCTACAAATTGTTTCATCAATTTTTGGACTATAAGCATTAAATAAAGATGTATGAAAATTAAATATTAAAGCATACATATTACATATATGTTGAAAATTAATTTAATAACAAATTAAATTTACTGACTTTCCAATAATCACACTATCATTGTCAAATAAAGACTTCAATAATTGACAAACAATCAAAGTTGATTCTAGTTTTTTCTTTTCAATTTCTCCACCAGAGAATTTCATTAGTGAATCTTGTAATGAAGTTCTTTTATCATCAAGATATTTATTTAGTTGTTGTTTTTTTTGCTTTGACACTGCCTTTATTATTATCCATGAACAAAGGAATTATTAATTTATTAAATAATAATAATTAAGAATATTAATCAAATATATTAAAATATTTTTCTTTTGTGACCTTTTGAGTAGAAACTCCAATTAAAAAGATTGTGTTTCATATATTGTCTAAATCATTATTGATATAACAAAAGTTAGAAAACAATAATGCAAAAAAAATTGTTGAAGAGCTCTTATAAGGTTCTCGATGTACTCTGTTTTATCATGCTAAAACGATCTCAATAGAGCTGATTTCCGAAAAGAATTAAGCTTCCGAAGTCAAAAACCATAGGTTTCTTTGAGAGGCTATTACTCCATAACTGGAAGAGCTACAGACGCATAAAGCTCGCGTTTTAAAGGTCAAAAGTAAGTGATTGTTTTTACTTGGAGACACGAAAAATTGAGTTTACGTTCAATTCATTCGCCAAAGTCCATTGTACAGAAAACGTGTCATGTCAATCATATATGATGCGCCGTATCTAAAGACATCAAATGCTGCGCCTCATGCCGAAATTTTTAACACCGATCTTTCCTGATTAAGAAATAACTCGAAGCAAAATGTCTCCAGTAAAAAAACAAAAAAACCATTTAAAAAATGCTAGAAAAACTAAAAAGGACAATAATGTTACTAATAAACAATGTTAGTGTGATATTACAATCATTTATTATCATTTATTAATCTAATGGTATATTTTAATATCTTAAACTAGTTATTGTAGATGTTCAGGAAGAGATTATTGCAGATGTTCAGGAGCATGTTCCTTCAAATCTTGAACCCGATCACTTGGAATTTTTGGAAGATGAATTTATTTATGAAAGTGATGATTCAGGAGATGAATGGCATGATGATAACATATCATCAGAATTAGAAAATGCTTTTTCAAAGATTGTTTCTTCTAGCTCAAAACCAGATATATGGAAAACAGAGGGTCGACCACAATTTTACACAGGAGCAGCACCAAAAACTATCAGATTAAAACAAGATGCTCTAAAAAATGCAGCAAAAGGAACTGAAAAGATCACATCATTCTTTCCGGTAATAATAAAAATACATATTTTAAGAAATAATAATTTATTTATTTATGTTTTTTATTTTTTTCTTCAAATTTAATTAGATTGGTGAAAAAAATCCAGAAATTAATGAACAGACTCAAAATGAAATAAGACATTTTTTTGAAGATGATGATGATTCAGATAACAAAATTCCTTTTTTTACTTTAGAAAATTTAGAAATTAACCTAAAAAATAAATCAATTTCTGATTATAGGTTACAGTATGTTGCCCAATATCTTCGTCTTGTAAACAATGGATATGCCAAGATCACAGCCAGTGAAATTATTTCTAAAAGCATTAATCATGGTCTTTGGATGGCTAGGTTGATAAGATCTTGGGCAATCCAATATCAAAAGAATGGAGAAATATCAATGTCTAAAAGAGGAAAACATCAAAAGATTAAAAGCATTATTAATGATGAAGATGTTAAAATGAAAATTGCTAGATATTTAAGAGGAAACAGGTTTACTCTTAGTATTAATAATTTTATTAAATTCATTTCTGATGAGGTTTTTCCTTCTCTAGGATATGAAAGAAGAAAGGAAATTAATAAAGATACAGCTCGAAGATGGCTTAATAATATGGGTTGGGAATACAAATCACATCAAAAAGATGTTTATTTTGATGGTCATGAAAGACCAGATGTGATAGAATATCGAATGAAATTTTTGGATCAAATGAAATTTTTTGAAAAATTTATGCCCATATTTGAGGGTGAAGAAATGGAAAACATTATTTGGCCTGCATTAGATCTTTATGAAAAAATACATATTTTGGTGACTCATGATGAGTCTACATTTTATGCAAATGATGGAATCAAGAAATTTTGGGGACCCCAAGGAGAACAGCCTCTTCGACCAAAGTCACAAGGTGCAAGCCTTCACATAAGTGAATTTTTATGTGAGACTATTGGGAGATTATGTTTAGGTGAGAATGAAAAGCAAGAAAATTATTCACTCCCTGAAGAATCAAGAATACCTGAAGAAGCATGCTGTATAATTAAACCAGGAGCAAATCGAGATGGATATTGGCAGAATTCTGATCTTGCTGAACAGGTTTTTAAATTTAAATTTATTTTTTATTAATTTTTATTATTACTAATTACTTTCTCATTATTTAGTTAAAAAACAAAGCAATACCTATTTTTGAAACAGTGCATCCTGGATGTATTGCTGTTTTTGCTTTTGATCATAGTTCAAACCATCTATCTTATGCACAAGATGCACTTGTAGCTTCAAGAATGAACTTGTCTTCAGGTGGTAAACAACCCTTAATGAGAAACACATATATGCGTAATGGACAATTACAAACTATGGTTTTACCTAATGGACAACCAAAAGGTATGAAAATTGTGCTTGAAGAAAGAGGTTTGTGGAAGATAGGATTATTAAGGACGTGTAAAGAATGTAAGAATCATACACAGGTGAGTGAGGTTTTGGGCTGCTGTGCTTTTCGTATTTTGTCATTAGAGCCAGATTTTCTGGCACAAAAATCTCACTTAGAAGAAATTGTAGAAAAGGCAGGGCATAAAATAATCTTTTATCCAAAGTATCATTGTGAATTGAACTATATAGAAAGTTTTTGGGGGGCAACTAAACAATATGCCAGAAAAAATTGTAATTATTCATTTAAAGAATTAGAAAGAACTGTTCCTCTGGCATTGAATTCGGTTTCACTTTGTAAAATTAGAAAATTTGCTAGAAGATGTTATAGATTTATGAGTGCTTATAGATTAGGACTTTCAGGAAGAGCTGCAATATTTGCAGCAAAAAAATATAAATCCCATAGAAAAGTACCAGAATCTGTGTTAATGGATGTAGATATATTATCATTGGGATGATTAAAAATAAATCGTTTGAATTATCACGTGATAATTTTTGATCTATTCTCGTTTTTTGATTGGCCAAATTAGTTTGATCGGCGTGCCGAAATTTTTTAATTTATATCAAAATTACTTAATTTTAAACCCCCATAACTTTTTTTTTTACTAATTAATTTTAAAAAATCTCTCTATTACATTGTTGCTTATGTTTCAAAGATTGCAAAAATAGAAAGATTTTTGTGGCCTGACAAATATTTCCAAATCTATCAGGGTTTAAAGATTTGCAATTTTTTTGATGTCTTTAGATACGGCGCACCATAGCATGTAGAAAAGATGTTACATTCTCTTGTTCATTATTATCGCTACCCTTAATAATATTATCATCATCATTAGCATTATCCCTTTCCTCATAATTTGGCTCGACTCCTTCCTTCTCTTCATCATCCGAGAAATGGTCTTTGTCAATAAGCGGTGGAAGATTAGACAAGTCTTCATCTAAACTTGTAAGTTGATATGAAGAAGAGTATAATAAATATGGAAAGGGGGATGGAGATATGGATTTTGAAACAAGTGGAGTACTACCACTAACACCATTGACCAACGGTGATGATGTTTTAGGTGTATTAGCGATTTGAACGTTTTTATTGACAGGCGAAGAAGTCTTTGAACTTTTCATTAATTAAAACGCGTAAAAAATGTAAAAAAATTTTTTTTTATTTTATATCCAGCAACTCAAATTTGAAGTATCATGTGATCTACATGTTGGATTTTAAAAAAAAGTTCCGATTCTATGGCAAGCCAAAATGGACAAAAGGTCGTTTGAACTAAACGCTAGAAATTTTCGATGCAGCGTTAAGAAAACGGTACACTCCGTTTTTTTTTTAATGCTGCACTACATTTCTTAAAAAATGCTACACATCATTTCTTAAAAAATGCTACATGTCATTTCTTAAAAATGTTACACATCATTTCTTAAAAATGCTACATGTCATTTCTTAAAAATGCTACACGTGTTTTTTATGCTATTTAGCATAATAGAAGTTTGTTCATGTCACATGCAGATCATTAATTTGTGACACAATTGAATTATATTGCGAACATAGTAATACAACGACTTTTTATATCTTATGTAACCTATTTTTTTTAGAAGGTACGTGATAAAAATATTACAATTTAATGTTTTTCATACCTCCTTCTGTATTTTTAGACATTTGGATCGAATGGGACCGAATAGATTCATGATCTAGATGAGAAGAAAAATTTATTATAGAAGAAGTAACAAATTAGCAATAAATAGTGGTAATTTCAAATAATTTTTTTTAATACTACACAATAAATGATTTTATCATTTTCCATATCATCAATTATTAATTTCCATATCATCAATTATTAATTTCAACATTGAGAACAGGTTAAATCAAATATGTTTAGAGATTAAATCGAATATTTTAATTATTAATGTATATATAAATAATAAATAATAATAAAATAAAATACATGGTATATTGTATATTAAATATGTTATATGTAAATCTATTATTTAAAAAAATTTAATCACCATTCTTTTACTAATTCAAGCGCATTTTCTAAATTTAAATTTGAATTAGGATTTGGTGTATTAATTTCTTCCTCATCTTCTTCCTCTATTTCTTCTTCTAAATCATCATCTGTTAAAATATCTGGTCCCTTTTCTAATCTTTTAACAAAAGAGTCAACATTATTAAACACACCCTTCTTATAAAACTCTTCACAATGTCCACATCTATTATGTAATTTATTATAGCAATTTGCATGGTACCCATGTCCGCATATTAATATTATTCCTTCATCATTTTCAAAAGGTTTTTTGCAATGGTCACATAATTCAGGATTTGGTGGAAAAGAAGTATGATAACCAGCAGGAAGGGACCTTATATCTACGTGTGCATTTAAAGTGGGCAATTTATAAGTATTATTTTTAACCTTTTTTGCTATATTGTTATGCTTAATATTATTATAAATTGAATGAAAGTATTCTAATAAAAAGAAACTTGTTTTTGTAGTCAGCTCTTCCAACATAGGTTCGCTATAAGGATAATGATGATATTTTTTAAATTGATTTATGAATGTTTGATCATGAAGATCAAGAAGATACGCTTGATTAATTATTGCTTCAGGTGAATGTAAAGAAGTTGTATTATTCCTTATTTGGCTATGGATGTTTTCTACATAGTAGTCATTAAAATTAACTAAATGTGATTCTATAACCCTACTAAATATATGGCCATTATCTTTCCAATAATAATAGTCGGACAAAAAGGCTAAAGGAGCTTTATTGTAATTTTTTCTTTTCCACCTTAAAGCCAAAGTCCAAATACGAAAGAGTGTTTCAAAGTATTCATTAAAAGAACCTGACCTGAACAAAATTGCATATATATCCAATGTAGCAGGTATTATATTATCTAACAAGTCTATCATTAATCTATATTCTAAATTTTTACATGTATTGGGAAATTTATTCATAATAACATTCGCAATTTTTTTCCACCCTTTACTTGCAAGATCTAATAGGAGGTTAATCCTCCAAGGCTTTGGTTTTTTTGCTAGGATTTTTCTTGACCCAAAAACGTAATGAAATAATTGATTAAAGAACTCCCAATGTATTATAATTATATATTCTCTTGAATTTAAAGATACATGTAGAGGACCAATCAATGGTACAAAATTTTTAATAATCTTATATTCATCGCAAACACTCTGACTTTGTTCTTGATTATTTATTTTTGTAATTGCCTTTCTTATAAACAGCTGTCCAGGCCAATCTGCTGATATAGCAATTATATTGTTCTTCAAATACTTTGAAATATTTTCGATTTTTATCAATGATAAAAGGACATCAACATAATCATTTAAAGAATGCAGATTTTTTTGTTGTACATTGACAATACGAACTTCTTTCATGGATCTATCTTGATGTCTTTCTAAGATTAATGGATTATAAAAATGAATGGTGAGAGACTCAATCCTATTTGATTCTTCTACATTTAAATTATTTGAAACCCATGTTGCTTTACGTGTGTTATAACTAATATCAAATATTCCTTTAAAGTCATTTAATAAATGATAGTTTATTCTTTGAGCCTCAATATTATTAGAATTATGAATGTAGACTCCATTATAAATCGCAGGAACTGCTTGACATTGCTTTATCATTTTAGAAACTGATGTTGCCATATGGTGGGCTGTAGAAAGAGTGGTAGTATTTGGTCTTCTCCATCCATGAATGGAATGATAATCATCAATATTAAAGCAAAATAATAAATGACTCTAAAAGGAATGTATATATTAATAATTTATTCTATTTATATTAAAATTTAAGAATAGAAACTGATATTACTTACATATTCACCAAAATTTTCATTTATTTTTTGTGGATGTTTTAAAGCAAGATCTTTTTTATAATTTTCAATTGTTTTATAACATGTTGTGATTCCCATATTTGCAAGTGTATCAATGGCTGTGCAACTTGCACCTGCTCCAACAAGGTAAATACCAAGATCAAGCTTTAAGGAATTGGTAAATTTGTTACGTAAACCTACTAACAAATAACAAAATACTACAATAGATCTTTTTGCTGCTTCTTTATTGCTTTCTGTCCTTTTGTCTGGAATTATGGCATCAGTCATTTCTTCAAAAAAACCTTGGAGTCTTGGATCACTTTGTTCAATCATGTCGGAAAATTTTGATGGATCTGACTCTATGCCCTTTTTAAATTTTCTTTGCTGTTTGTAAAGAACTTTACTCAACAGTTTTATTTTTGTTGCAAATGAATCATTTCCTGTTTCTATATCAATACCATCATCAATAATATTTGTGTCTAAGTTATCATCAACATCATTATTATTTTCAGCAACATAATATGAATTTTCTTCAATTAGCAATTGCAAATTATTAATATGATCCATTATACTTTTAAAATCATCTTTGGATACAATAACATTATTCTCAATAGAATTTATTTTAATTTTAGACCAATCTAAGTTATCTTTTTGTTTATTAGTTATAGCATTAATTGAAGATTCACCAACCAAACCACCTTCGGCCAATTTTTTATTATTTGTGTTTTTCTTATACTTCTCATGTCTGTCTGGCTCAACTATATTTAAATAATGTATCCTGTAGCATAATTGATCATCTTTTTTTAAAAATCCATATTCATTATTTACATCTTTAAGTCTAATTTTATTAATAGTATAATCAGTTAACTTTCTGAATTCATTATTGGTGTTAGTACAGCCAGGTATAACACATGGACCACAATTTTTTGGAGGCATTTTTGATTTTAATGAATTTGTTCAATTTAGTTTTTAAGTTTAAGAGAATATTTGTATTTCTGATAAATAATTTAAGAGAATATTTGTATGTATTTCCAATAAATAATTTAAGAAAATATTTTTGAAAAAATCTTTCAGGTTGGAGTTTTCTCTATTTATATATTTTTAATTATTTATTCATTCAAGTTGACAAAGACCATATTAAAATGTTTCATTGACATGAATGAAGAAAGAAAACAGACATGAGTTTTGATACTAGTATATTTTTAAATCCTTTATTCCGTACAAAAATGTTTCATTGACATGAATGAAGAAAAAAAATGGAAAAAGAATGTGAGTTTTGATACCAGCAAATTTTTAAATCCTTTATTCCATACAAAAATGTTTCATTGACATGAATGAAGAAAGAAAACAGAAAAGGAACGCGAGTTTTGATACCAGTATATTTTTAAATCTTTTATTCCATACAAAAATGTTTCATTGAAATGAATGAAAAAAGAATACAGGTTTTGGTTATCAACATTGAATTCTTTATTCCGTACAAAAAAAACAGGAGTTTTGATTATCAGCATTGCATATTTTTAATTTAACAAAAAGACAAGGTGATTTTGTAAACTATAAACCTCTAATTTTTTTAAAAATTTTAATTATGAAAAAGAGTCAAATTGACAAAGAAAAAAAATAACTTTGGTTATGTCTGTCTGTGTATTATTATTTTCTTTATTCAATACAACGAAACGTATGTAACACATAATAAAATGTTGATTGTGATACAATGTGATAATTGCGAATGTCGATCAATATCAAACTTCTACTATGCTAAACTGAACCAAACCGTTCCCATCCCATCCCATCCCATCTCAATCCCATCCAACCCATATCCCAACCCATGTCCCATATCCCATATCCCATTGATAGAATTAACAAAATATGTGTATATTTATTAATAAAAAATTTTGTCATTTATAAAAATTATTAAAACCATAAAAACAATTCAAAAGAGAAATAATTCTGTAATTACAACAGAAAACAATCATTAATCAAAATTATGATTATCTAACAATTCATCAATGTCAAAATTTGTATCTCCATGATCAATATCATTTTCTTCATAAATTTCATTTGATAAAATATTATTATTAGACAATAAACTTGAATTCAAATCAATGCTTTCAGTAATAATTAAATGGCCATCATTAACACCATCCAAATTTATAACCTCTTCATCACAATTATCATCAAGGTGACTAACATCTTCAAGATTATCATCTTGTCCAAAAAGATCATTTCCATTGGTAATTGATAAAGCAATTCGGTTAAATGTTTCAACTGAAATTTCTTCATTTAAGTATTTCAACTCATCTTTTGCATTTGTTACAAGATAAGAATGAATTTGTGCTATTGATTGCAACCTTTCAATGTTAATTCTGTTGTAAAAAAAAATTATATTTCAATGTTTTGCATTTAAAAGCTATAATAAATATAAATATATTAAATTCTTCTTTTTCCTAAGTACCATCCCAATACAGAAAATACTCTTTCACATGCCCCATTATGAGGAACTATGGAATGTAATTTTAAAGCAAGTGCAATCCTCATTTTTTTTAAGTTCTAAAGAGGTCCACCAATTTATAGGAGTATTAATACCATCTAAATAAATTTCATTGAATGGTTCTTCAAAATTTCTATATAGACTTAACTGTACTAACAAAAGATCAGAGCTTGTTTTACCACCACCTTGATTTTTCCAAATACTAAGTGCAGTTTTTGATACATTTCTGAAAAAAAAAAGATGAGTTATAAATATCATTAAAAGAAAAAATTTGAAAATAAAAAAATTGTTATACATACCACAATACTTAGGGTTTAAGAAAAATGCTAACATATAAATATCAATATCAAATTCACTTCACCTTTTATTAAATATTGCAATACATGAATGTTTAAGATCTGCATTTTGAATAGGAATTTTTGATATTTCACTTGCTAATTTTATCAATTCTAAAAAACAATCAGATAAAGTAGTTGTTGAAAATTCAAGATCCTTTGTTGCACATTTTGCTGGACCAATTATTACTTTTAATTGTTCAACATCATGCCAAAATTCACGATTTTGAAGGATAACCTTTGATGGCATTTGCATTTACAAAGATTTCAGTTGTTCTTCAACCACCTTTAATTATGAGTGTTAGATCATTTTATAATTTATAAAAAAATAAAAGATAAATTTAAATACTTGCAAATTTAATATTTCACAAACATCCCAAGATGTGCTCCAACGAGTCTTCACTGATGATTTTAAATTCCCACCAAATACTAATGAATTGATTATTTCTTCACGTAATGCAGCTCCAGTACAATGTGATTTATGAAAAAAGGAAACAATCTTTTGACATTTTTTTAAAGTTTTTTTAGCCCAATCTAATGATGTAATATCTTTTGTAACAAGATTTATATGATGAGCAATACATCTTACTGGCAAAATATGTTTATAATTAGATACAATCCTTCTTTTTGCTGCTATCATTGCTGATTCAGCATCAGAAACAATTGCAGCGATTTTTTCTTTTCCAATATTATCAATTATTCTTAACAATTGTTCTTCGTTGAATTGAGCTGTATGCCTGTCACTTGAAAAATCATTAATTGAGTATATAAATTGGTGACGAGCTGGAGTAATAATTACAAAAGCATATATACTTTGACCAAGAGGACTTGTCCAAGAATCAATACCTTTCAAGAATGATCAAATAATTTTTATTATTACATAAATAATTAATAATTAAAATTTACATTAATAAATTTTACTAAAAATAATTTACATTAATTAATGATTAAATTTACATTAATGAATTTTACTTAAAATAATTACATTAATTACCTAAAGTTAAATTTTTGGAATCTCGCACCTCTTTTTCTATCTTTAAGGTTATGTTGGCAATCTCAGAATCTAACAGATGATTAGACAAGGTGGTATGTTTTGGAGGTTCATAACCACTGCATAAAGTTTTTTTAAATCTGCAACACTAAAGGGGATCCCACAACACACAAAAAAACAAACCATTGCTTGATTTGCTCTTGAAATTTTTGGTGCATCTATTCTATCACTGTCAAAATAAGAACAAAGATCCATATTATTTCCAATATTTCCACTTTGCCTTTTATTTGCAGAGTATGTATTATCATCTGATTTAATTGATCTTAAATATTTTAATTTTACTTCTTTACTAACTAATGGGCATTTCAGAGCCAAATGCCCTTTCAATTCAGAAGGTTTACCATGTTTCCATGACTTAAAGCAAAATTTACATTGTGCTGACAGGTGAGAGTCATGTGGAATTTCTATTGCATTAAAATAATTCCATACTGGATCTCTAGCTTTACCTCCTTGTCTGGAATTTCCAGTACTTGTATTAATTTCATAAATTGATAAATTGTCTGTTTCATCATCCTATTTATCAAACATGATTTAGTAATAAATTTTCTATAAAAACAAACAATTATTTTTTAAAAAAAAAAATTAATTCACCATTGTAAAGAATTGTGAAGAATTCAAAAATGAATTAAACAAACAAATACTTTATTTAATTGTGGTAAAAATATGTCATTCTTTATTCTTTTTAAAATAATTTATAATACAAACAATCTCATCTGAATACTACTAAACATAATTAGCAAAAATACTTAATAAAATTAATTTGTTCGCCATTAATGTTTAGTTATTTTCTTTATTTGTACATTGTACTCGTGATGAAAATGTAAATTGTTACAACCATCTTCAATTCGAATTATTATTTAATTTTATGACAAAAATATGATTGGTTAATTTGAGATGGGATATGGGGTATGGGATATGGAGTATGGGTTGGGATATGGGATATGGGTTGGGATATGGGTTGGGGATTGGGTGGGGATTTTACTAACCTCAAAGCCCCACCCACCCATACCCAATGGGATTGGGTATTGTCCCATATCCCTTAGTATGGGCGGCAAGTATACTCAGAATTGTAAGTTATGCTCAAAAATGCAATAAAATTTGTATCAAGTGACCTTTTTTAATGGTGATACAAATTAAAAAAAATTTTTCATTTAAATATTTATGTATTAATATATATATATAATGTTATAACGTTGCTAAAAAAAAATTTCCTTCTTCATGTGAAGAAGCCAATGATCCTGCAGAGAGCATTCTTTGAGAGCTTTGCCCTCAAAGAATTTTTGGACACCACGCATTTTCCATATTAAATAGATTAATTGTCATCTCTCATCTTTCCTTTTTTCTGATATAACTAGTGTATTATTGTTACATGCTTATACTATCTAATAATCTAATAAACCATATTTACATATCTTTATTTACATTGTAAAAATCAAATCACAGGTACCATTGCAATTTTTTGGTCTATTTATATGTTTTGTAGTAATTTATTAGACTACTCAATAAATGCACCATTTGGCCACGAAATAGTCTATTTTATGAAAAATTACATCATTGTGCAAAAGGATGCTAGGATGTTTCGCATCCAACTATTCAAAAGAATAATTCATCTTTGTTATTGCTAAATTTAGAAATGATTATCAAGCCTAGTCTAAATTTAGTAAAGATATTAGCAGCATTTCATCGCGAACATTGTAAACTTGTGCAACTTTGAGCCCTTCTAACTGCGTAATGCTGTGACATATCAACAAAATGAAATCGCAACTTTGTAGAGAAAGGTCTTAGCTTCAAAATTACGGCTTATTTTTTTGGTGTTACATTTTCATTTTTGGAGTTAGAGAAGGATCTACAAGGCCAATAAAAAGTTGTGGGACTAGGTGTCTCGCACTATACAAATTTAGAATGCATTCGCAGAAAAAGACCAACGTGTAACGTATCATCGCAGCGTCCCTGCATTTTATAAATTATAATTTTTTAAAAAAAATTGAGTAATGATTCGTGGCCATGATTTGAAATTTAATTAAGCCGAGGTCATGATCCAGCTGTTTTTACCAGCTGAAGTTTTAAAATTTTTGTCTATTTGAAAATGTCAATATTAGATGATTTAAGATTGATTCAGCAATGTCCATACAGAATGTAAAATATTCGTCCTTTACACAGCACAATTTTCAAAAAACATTGGAAAATTAAATATTTGATGTACACGAATGGATAGAAAAAATGGTGCCAAATTTTAATCTTACTTAATCAAAATTTTTATGTTTGTTGTACTCTTTTTTTGTTTTTTCTTTTTACAATTTAAAAAAGTTTTTTAATTCATTCATTGAAGAATCTTTGTAATACGAATTTCCTAAAAAAGAATTTACAATATACCCCAGGCTTTATTATTATATTTATCAGGTAGGTCCTATGTAATCACTGCCAGAAATAAACAAACTTATTTTTGCAACTTTATATTATAATCATGTGATACAATCAGTTTATCGTTTAATAATAAGAAATATATTTGAATTAAAGAAAAAAAAATTTTTCTGCCAGTAATATGTCGGACCATCTAATAATTCATTCATCAGGTATATAGGTATCGGATACCTATAGGCAATATCCTTTTTTTCACGTGCCCGAAGGACACGTGAAAAACATATTGACCTACAGATCAGGTCGATACCTACCTGATAACAAGAACTATTCCGGGACCCTAGTAGAAGTGGAAAAATTATATTAGATAGAATCATTTTAACCATATTTAGTATCTCATTTAATGAATAGACCAGACCAAAATTTGTTGGTCTCAATGGACCCGGTTTATATTTGATGATCCTACTATAATTGATGGATGAAGTTGCTGCGATGTGAATGAACTTTGCAATACTCGTTCAAAAAAAATTAGATCTGGTACACTGTGGACAAATTTTGCCGTCACATTATGATTTGATATAACCATTTCTGTACTATTTACTAAGAAACAAAAAAAAATTTTTTATATTTGAAAATCATTGGCAGAATTTTCTTGAAAATATTTGGAGTTTTTCGGGAGATTCATGATATTTTACTGCAGTGACATCAGTTACAACGTACCCGTTAATGTGATGCATAAAGATTACAAGATTGAAATCTGCTTGCTACAATCATAGGGCTCGTACAAGAACATTGCAGGCTGTGGCTTTTCTGTGATTGGCCATATTACTTGCAGAGTGAAATTGTTTATAAAAATTCTATAAACCCAAATCAGGTAGCTTTTCTTGGAAAAAAAATTTTTCTACAAGGAGAAAAGAATATTAATTATTATTAATATTATTATTATATTGTATATTCAAAGCCTTTAACAAAGCGATCAAGTGATGATTTAATAAACATTATTGGGGCACTTTGTGTAACTAGTTATTATCTTTGCGCAATCAATGCCCCAGGTTAGAGAGAATTTGTTATCCATCAAAAAAATTTTTTGCCTAAAACATATTAACAATGAATGTAACAATGAAATTAAACTTTAAAAATTTTTACAAAATTTATTATGATTTATATTGAAAAAAACTTTCAATAATAAATGAATCATCATCATCATCTTATTAATTTACATTGTCAAAAAATCGTAAAGAACCACGGGCCAACATAAATTACTGAATGTGATTAATCAAGATGAAGTAATCAAAGATGATAGAAACGAATTAATAAAAGAATTGAAGTTTATTGTGCATTGATAATTTACAACATAACACAACATATATCTATCTATCTCGATATTTACGAAACTGCGAGTCTTATTGAATGATCATTTAAGGAAAAAAGGATGCGGGTGTTTATTTGTTTTAATTTTTCCTTTTAAAGATCAAAGGCTCTCAACAAAAAAAAAACGTGAGAATTCTAATTTATTTATATATATTGAACTATGAAGAAACATCTTTGAGAATATGAACAGAAAAAAGTTTTCTTCTCCAAATATCGAATTGATAAGTTAAGGAATTCTTTAAAATGAATTAAGGTAATGATAATAATGATGATAATAATTAGTTGCAATGTTTTATTACTAATTATTATTATTTTTTTCTTACCAAAGAACGTTAATAATATACATACGTATTTAAGTATGTATGCAAGGTAAATAAATATTCACATCTATGAAATTATCATCTTTGTTATCATTATTATAATAAAATAAAATGAAATAAAATAAAGTAAAATAAAATAAAACATATTTCAACGGGTACAATTATAATTTTTATCGAAGTTGTTAATTTAATCACGTAAATTCTATAAAGTCCAGATTTAATTATTGTAATTTTTTTAAAAAAAAAATCATTAAAAATTATCTATAATCTATTTTTTTAGGTAAATCTTGGGTACGACAAATAAATAATCAATATATATATTATTATCTTTTTTCTCATTAAGATTATTATTATAGGATAGATTTCTTTATTTTTTTTTTTTCGTATCATTATTATGTTTTTATTATATATTTTTCTTGATAAAATTTTAATCAAAATTCGTTGATTATATTGTGCACAAACAAATTTTTCGTCGTCGATTTTTCGTCAATATTTTATATGCGCGTAGAGAGATTGAAAAAAAAAATTTATGATTTTTTATTTTTATTTTTTTTTGATTCATTTATAAATATTTTTTTTTCCTGATTCTTTTTTATTATGGACTTTTCTTTTTCTTTTTTTTTCCTCAATAAATATATATTTAATATATATATACTATGTATATAAATTATTTTTTCATGATAATCGTGAATTCGAAATTTTGTTTGCTTGATGATCACTAGTTGTATTACCTAGAATTTTTAGCTATCACACAAAAAAATACAAAGCCAATTAGAATCCAGTGTCATTCAAAAATTTTTTTAAAAATGTCTAGTGGATCTAACAATTCTGGGTTTGATGGTTTTTTGCCTGGGAGAACTACCGCTACTCAGGCTATAAAAGTTGAAGAAGGTGAAATTAATCCTTTTAACGGCAAACCATATAGTAAAAGATATCGTCAACTACTAGAAAACAGACGAAAGTTACCCGTTCATCAACAAAGACAAGAATTTCTCGACTTAATACAAAGTAATCAATTCATAGTATTTGTAGGCGAAACCGGTTCTGGAAAGACAACACAGTAAGCATTCTCTCTACTCTCAAATCAATTTAAAATATTTTACCTATTTACTTTTCGTTTTTTCTTTTTTTTTAGGATTCCACAATTTCTCTGTTACGATTTACTTCCTCACATAAAAAAGAAACAAATAGCATATGGACTTTTCTTTTTCTTTTTTTTTCCTCAATAAATATATATTTAATATATATATACTATGTATATAAATTATTTTTTCATGATAATCGTGAATTCGAAATTTTGTTTGCTTGATGATCACTAGTTGTATTACCTAGAATTTTTAGCTATCACACAAAAAAATACAAAGCCAATTAGAATCCAGTGTCATTCAAAAATTTTTTTAAAAATGTCTAGTGGATCTAACAATTCTGGGTTTGATGGTTTTTTGCCTGGGAGAACTACCGCTACTCAGGCTATAAAAGTTGAAGAAGGTGAAATTAATCCTTTTAACGGCAAACCATATAGTAAAAGATATCGTCAACTACTAGAAAACAGACGAAAGTTACCCGTTCATCAACAAAGACAAGAATTTCTCGACTTAATACAAAGTAATCAATTCATAGTATTTGTAGGCGAAACCGGTTCTGGAAAGACAACACAGTAAGCATTCTCTCTACTCTCAAATCAATTTAAAATATTTTACCTATTTACTTTTCGTTTTTTCTTTTTTTTTAGGATTCCACAATTTCTCTGTTACGATTTACTTCCTCACATAAAAAAGAAACAAATAGCATGCACTCAACCACGTAGGGTTGCCGCAATGTCAGTAGCTCAACGTGTGGCAGACGAAATGGATTTCAAACTTGGTGAAGAAGTTGGTTATAACATACGTTTTGAAGATTGTTCTGGCCCAAAAACCATTCTTAAATATTTAACTGATGGTATGCTTCTACGCGAAGCAATGAATGATCCAAATTTAGAAAGATACTCTGCTATTATTCTTGACGAAGCACATGAACGCACATTAGCGACTGATATTTTAATGGGATTGATGAAAAAGGTTAGCGCTATTACAATTCAATAAAGAATCAATTACTTCTTATACAGTATATTTATTTATGTAAACAAAATTTTTGGGTATTAAATTTATTTATTCAATTAAAAGATAGTAAAAAAACGTAAAGATTTGAAGGTTGTTGTAATGAGTGCAACACTTGATGCTGAAAAATTCAAAGGATATTTCAATAATTCTCGAGTATTGGTAGATTATTATTATCATTATCATCATCATCATCATTATTATCATTGTTGCAATTAATAATATCTATTGTATTAATATTTACAATATTTACTCTGGAAAAATCAAAGACTGTTCCTGGTAGAACATTTCCAGTAGAAATTTATTATACACCTCAACCAGAACGTGATTATTTGGAAGCTGCTATTCGTACAGTTATTCAAATTCATGTATCTGAGGATCCTGGTGATGTGCTGTTGTTTCTAACGGGAGAGGAAGAGATTGAAAGTGCTTGTCAAAAGATCAAAAATGAAATAGATACTTTATCAAAACAAGTTGATCTAGGTCCTTTGAAAGTTCTTCCTCTCTATTCTACTTTGCCACCTCAACAGCAACAGCGTATTTTTGAAGATCCTCCCCAACCTCTTAAAAAAGATGGAAAGGCTGGTCGTAAGGTTATTGTCTCTACAAACATTGCAGAAACTTCATTAACCATAGATGGAATTGTTTATGTAGTTGATCCTGGCTTTAGCAAACAAAAGGTTTACAATCCTCGTATTCGTGTTGAATCATTACTTGTAAGTCCTATTAGCAAGGCTTCTGCTCAGCAAAGAGCCGGTCGTGCTGGTCGTACACGTCCTGGAAAATGCTTTCGTCTTTACACTGAGAAAGCATTCAAAAAGGAATTACAAGAACAGACATATCCAGAAATTTTAAGAAGTAATCTAGGTTTGCTATTAATCATTATCCTTATTGTTACATCCTTACTACATCTTTATTAGCTGTTATTGTTACTTCTATTGCTATTATTTTTATTTGGATTATGCTGTTATTATTTATAATATTGTTACTATTATTACATTAGGTAGCGTTGTTCTCCAATTAAAGAAATTAGGCATTGATGATCTAGTACATTTTGACTTTATGGATCCTCCAGGTAAAATAATCTTTCATTAAAACCATATATAATGTTATATGATTTAAGTGCATTAATTTATTGATCGATTGCCCTTTTCTTTAATATAAAACATGTGTGTATTTAATAGCTCCTGAAACTTTAATGCGTGCACTAGAACTTTTAAATTATCTTGGCGCACTTGATGATGAGGGAGAACTTACTGCTGATGGACATTTAATGGCAGAATTTCCTCTCGATCCTCAATTAGCAAAAATGTTGATAGAAAGCCCTAAATTTAAATGTTCAAATGAAATTTTATCAATTGCTGCGCTTTTATCAGGTTTTTAAAGATTCCTTGTTCCTTTTTAATAGGTTATTATTAAAAACTGATTGATAATTTTATATTATAAAGTTCCTAATGTGTTTGTGCGTCCAAACGATCTGAAGAAACAAGCTGAAGAATCAAAATCAAAATTTGCCCACGCTGAAGGCGATCACCTAACTTTATTAAATGTTTATCATGCTTACAAAACTAGTGAGTGGTTTTATTTAATATAATATATATTTTTATGTATGTACTTGTTTGTTTAGTTTTACCATTACTGCTTAATATATAGAAATTTTTTTTTTGGTATTTAGATAGCGATGACCCAAATTGGTGCCGTGACAATTTTCTTAGTTCTAGGTCTTTAAAATCAGCTGATAATGTACGTCAACAACTTAAACGTATTATGGAACGATGTGATTCTGATCTGGTCAGTACTCCATTCGAAAACAAAAATTATTATTCGAATATTAGGCAGGCTTTGACAGCAGGCTTCTTCATGCAAGTAGCTCATTTAGAGAAATCTGGTCATTATTTAACAGTAAAAGATAACCAAGTTAGTATATATTTTTTTAACAGTAGGAGATATATATAATAATTTAAATGTTTTATTAATAACAATATATTCTTATTAATATTACTATTATTTAAGGTTGTGCAACTCCATCCTTCTTCAACCCTTGGTCATAAACCTGAGTGGGTCATATATAACGAATTTGTTCTTACCACTAAAAATTATATACGTACTGTTACTGAAGTAAAAGCAGAATGGTATGTAGATTTTCTAATATATTTACAATACATGAATACATGTATATATATAATAATAATAATTTTTTAAATAAAAAAAAGGCTTTTGGATATTGCACCTCAATATTATGATCTATCCAATTTCCCCAACTGTGAAGGAAAACGAGAACTAGAAAGGATTAAATTGCGAAGATCTAGGAAAAAATAACGGTCTTGAACAAGGTAACCATATTTTTTGTATATTATTGTAAAAAAGTTTTTTTTTATGTTTGATAATGTTTTTTTATAGCTGTTTATTTCTCAACACATTAAGAAATTTTATGATTAACTTTAACCATTTATTTAATATAATAATGGTTACTAAATTCAGAATTTCTCAATTTTTATTATTATTTTAATTTTATTTAATTTATTTTTTTTTTTTTTTGCAAAACTAACAACTTTTCTCGTTCCCGAAAACTTTATTAGAAAGATATAAAAGTAAATAAAAAATTTTTATTTCATGTTTCTATACCAATCACTTTACTCAATCATACCTATAATGTTTAAATAGTCATTTATGAATTAAGAGTTTTTTAAAGGTACATAATTTTTGTCACGAGTTTAGATCAATAATCGCCACTACCGTTTTTTTTTAAAAAGCTTTTAATTCGTGGCCCGCCGATTGATGATGGAAATTCATTAATAAAAACCGAGAGGATCATCATTAATGTAATTAATAAATGTATTGTGTGACAAAAAGTTACATATTTATTATAAAAGTTTTGTAGAAATTATATCTTTGGAGAGGTTTTTTTTCATTATATTAAAATAAATAGTTTACTTCGGAGAAGCTACGGATTCCGGCATAAAACCTATATTAATATTAATATTAATATGTTATTAATGTTAATATAATTTTTTTTAATTTAATGTATAGTTCGAAATTTTTTTCTATACATTACTATTAGTAATGTTTTCAAATTAAAGTGTTTTCAATGACATTCATTATTATGAACCCTAAATATAAGTTTCCTATAGTTACTTGACAATAAAATATCTTAATAAAATTCATAAGTTCTTTGATTTATAGCTTGTTTTTGGTGTTCTGGCTTTACAGCAGTATAATGTTGAATAGATTCTACTTTAGGAAATATTTCACCATTTTTATTAATTCTGCATGCATATTCCATATCCAGTGTGTGTGTTTACATTAAAGGTAGCTAGCTAGCAGAAAATTCGTGCAACAAAATTTGAAAAAAGAAATTATTGAAACAAAATATACTTTTATTTATTATATTAGAATAATTCCATCTTTTATTAATAAATCATTGATGTTTTTGAGTATAATTCTATTTTTATTGATAACCAAAAACAAGGCTTAGCTGTTTAATCATTTCCTTGTGTGTGAATTCCTTCATATACTAAATATTCATGATGGTCATGATTATTATTCAATACATTTGATATTACCATTGACATAACAAAAAATTGTATCACACAAGTAATGATAATACCAAGATCATGCATAAATGAAAATTTTAATAATGCATGTTTACCCAGATCTTTGGGATTAACAAAATAAATTTTTTTTCCTGATTATCAATTATGGTTCCTTATGAATAATAAATCTGATGTTAATCATGTCAGATTTAAATTAAGAATTTCCTATCTCAAACATTCAGTTTACCATGAAATTTTTACGGGTGAAGTTTCCCCATGTTTGGAGGCTTTGGCTTTCCCTTATTTTCCTCTCAGACCAGGCTTGGCTGTTACCATATACTTATAATGATTGAGTCATGTGATTTTATAATCCAGCGACATAAAGAATATCATTGCTATTTTGGGATTCGAGATTTGGCATTTTAATGTCACTATACTTTCTAAAATTGGAATAATTTTGACCACTGGAATCACCAACCAATTTGGGCTGCATGTATATTGTTGAGACATTTTCAAGGTTTTAATCATGGAAAATTTTAATTGTAAGAATTTGATAAAAGAAAATTTGAACAGATTTTTTGGAATTGTTTGTGTTATCTTGTTTTTTTATTATTCTTTTAATTATTTGGAAGTTTGGATCAAATGTTCTTTAATTAAACAATTTTAATACAGTTGCTCACTTTACATTTTTTATTTTTATATCATGTGAATTCACTATAATGCAATTGGTACTTACTATTTATTCATTGTACATTTAGTATTAACTGTAGGTTTATATTATCATTATCATTATCACTATCATAAGGATTATAGTTGGTGGAAAATTTAAACCATGTTTACCTAGTACAATAATGAAATATAAGGATTGAAATATTTATATCAAAAACATCTGTGTAACCAATGTTGGTTTGATAATTACACAGAACAATTTAATCTCAGACTCCTTTTTGCTGGTGGAGATCCCAATTGTCATTTATAGAATTTTCAGTGGATGTACAATTACTGATAATTTTGAAAAATTACCAGGATATGGAATTTTTTACATGAATTTAGTTTCATCAACCTATCCAAACTTGCTAACATCCTAAAGGTTCAGAACAACATAAATTCATCAGCTTCAAATAAGATGTAATTTATCCATTTTCTAGAATGACCATTTTTTTTGTTACTTTACAAAAATACTAACCCTTTAACCATCAATATTGACTTACTTGAAATTTTCCAAATTTTAGGTAACCTATCTATGTAGTTTCCAATAACAATATCAACATAACCAGGACCTAATAAGTTGCAAAAAGCAGATGTCAAAACAAAAGACTCTCAGGGATAAAGTTGCTTGCTGGAACCTTTTAATGACTGCTGAAACTCTGCTGAAATTCTAATAAACAATTAGTGTGTAACCTGCTGAAACTCTGCTAATTGTTGAAATCCCTAAATGCAAAACTCTGCTGAAACTCTAACAAAAAATTAGTGTGTTACCTGCCAAAACTCTGCCAATTGATTTCCAGAGGAGTTTTGGCAAGCAACCATACTCAGGGAAAGCCAAAAATCAGTGATCAATATCAAAGATGAAACACAATAAGCCACGCCATGTGCATGATGTGAAGAATCAAAATCGATTTGCCATGGCAAATATTCCTTTATAAATATCTTTGAATAAAAATGAATTTTTCGTAAATACGAGTTCACGACCATTTAAAGACACATTACATGGAGAGAACCCATAATAGGCAAAAATGCTGTAAGCTGGTGTACAATAGCTTTACGAATGAAAAATTGATCAGGCCAGTCCGCAATAATGGGAATTGCATGGTTGGAAAGATATGCTTGCATTGGTTCTTGATCATGTACGATTCGGAGAGCCTTTGTATAATCTTCCACGCTTTTCAAATTGCTTTCAATGAAATCGAAGAGGATGGCATTCTGTACACCAACCTATCATTGTAACTATGCAACGTTGGTCTGTTCATGAGCTCGTCATTTCTTACCTATATAGACAGACTTGCATGCGATCACCATAAGAGGCACCAAGATTTGTGATAAATCGGTCATTGAGATGTTCCATAATCAACTCATCATCGATGATTTTTGGATCCAATGCCCAATTACGTGGTATTGCTGACATGTTGAGACGTGGATTTGTTACAACCGTAGCCATATGTGCTGCCCAAGATGTAGTGGTGGTATCAGGTTGTCTCTGAACGTGAATGCTATGATAATCATCAACATTCAACACGAATACATTTTTTGAATGTTTTGTAAGTGCATTCTCTACATATTTCTCATGTTCATCTGCAATTTGCTTCTTTTTACGATCTACTGCTCTTGATGTTGTAGTTACTCCAAGACTTGTATCTACCAAGTTTAAATAGAATGCAAGGTTGAACTTAAAAGAGTTAATTTTGTATTATTTAAAACAAGAAGATAACACATGAACACTAAAATGGCCGAGCTGCTAAATAGAGTTGGTCAAAAAGCCCCTTCAAGCTTGGTTCTATTTATTGTAGCAATCAATCTTTTCACTTACATCTTCCACTTCCTCTTTCCCTTCCGCATTTGTGGTTTTTATCTCCTAGGTTCTCTTTTTAAAAGATTTTCTACAAAATTCATATAACAAATGTTACATAAAACAACATGTTACTTTCACTAAGTTGTTGT